ATAAAAAATCCTAACAGATGTTTAGTTTTTGATTCTGAGATCACTATGTTCTGTGTCTTTATAAGGCGTCGGAAAATTCTGTTCATTCAGCAGGTTGTAACAAAAGTTGGTTGCACATTAACAAGCCAGCGAACATTTGTCCATGGGAAAACGGGGTTAAGCACTAATGCAAGAAGTACTCCCAAATGGCGAACTTTCTCCCACCTCTACACTGCACTGCCCATGTATTTTTTATTTGTTTGTTTGTAGTTTGTCTATGGTTTATTTGGGTGCTCAGCTGCATTGCACAATCAGGATATTAGTTTACGTCTTCACAGTTTCTAAACCTGCCAAATGGACCAGCTGGAACATTGTTGCAAGCTTTGAGTGGTTTGAAAAGGTCCAGGCTACCATGTAGAAAACAAGTCCTTGGCTGGCCGGCTCCATTGCAAAAGCTTTGGTTTCGTTCTCTTCACTTTTCCTACCAAATGTAGCTGCCCTCCCAAACACCAACAGTGGCAGCAGCAATGAGTTCTCACCACTTTGTAATCATGGTGTTTTGCTTCTGCTCCTTATTGTTTTCCATCCATGCCCCTTTTGCTACCTCACTCTCCTTCAACTTCAACTTCTCCGATCCCGGCTCCTACTGCGCCCCGGATGCGGATATTGCCTGCGCTGGCGATGCCTTCTTCCACGCCCCTTTCATGGAGCTGTCCAAGAACGATATCAGTGAAGGCAACAACCACAGCATCGGTCGCGTATGGTACACGCAGCCGGTGCCGCTCTGGGACAAGGCCACCGGCGAGGTGGCCAGCTTTAACACTTCTTTCTCCTTCCAAATTAGGCCGGTCAACGCGGATTACAGCGCCGATGGGATGGCCTTCTTCCTTGGGCACTACCCGTCGGGCATCCCTCTGGGGAGCTATGGTGGGAATCTCGGACTTTTCAATGGTAGCAACAACAAGAATGCAACCGGTAGTGACCGTATTGTGGCGGTCGAGTTTGACACCTTCAGGAACATGCAATTGGACGACAATGACAACCATGTCGGTATCGATGTCAATTCCATTGTTTCGGTTGTGTCAACCTCACCTGATAAGAAACTTACACTAGGTACCACAATGACCGCGGAGATCAGCTACGAGAATAGCACAGAGAAATTGTCAGTTATTCTCTGGATCAGTGAAACCTCATACCGAATCAACACAAGTATTGACATGAAAATATGTTTGCCAGAGGAGGTGGCAATTGGCTTCTCAGCGGCTACTGGTAGCTCCATCGAGGTACACCGGGTTCTATCATGGTCATTCAACTCAACCCTAGCAGGTAAGAGTTTGTCGACATTGCTACCAGGAGTAGTGCCTGTGCCTCCTGAAACTGTGAGCTCCAAATCACAAAGAAAAGTACAGGCTACAATAGCATTTTCAGCTGCAATATTTTCTGTGTTGGTGTGTTCTTTCATGGGTTTTCTTCTACGGAAGCAACGAGTATGGAAGAAAGCAAATCAAACCTCCGATGGTGAATTTGAAGATGAAAATGATAAGGCTGAATTTGAGAAAGGGGTTGGCCCTAGGAGGTACCATTATAGTGAGCTTGCTGCTGCGACAGGCAACTTTGCAGAAGAAAAGAAGCTAGGGAGAGGTGGATTCGGCCATGTTTACCAGGGCTGCCTGCGGATTGATGACAAGGATCGCCATGTTGCGATAAAGAAGCTCTCGTCTGAATCATCTGTTCAAGGGAGGAAGGAGTTTGAGGCTGAGATCAAGATCATAAGTCGGCTCAGGCATCGGAACCTTGTCCAGTTAATTGGGTGGTGTGACAGTTGCAAGGGGCTCTTGATTGTCTATGAGCTGGTATCCGAAGGAAGTCTTGACAAGCATATATATAATAGAGGCGGGCTGCTAAAATGGCCTGAAAGGTACGAGGAATTATATGGTTTCTTGCGGAATTTCTTACATTTATAAGCATAATTGTACTTAAGATTAATTGATCAGTTCGTAGAAGAACTAATTGAAGTCTAAGACCAAAAATTCTTTTCAAAATGATAATTGGAGTCCAGTGATGAAAATGCACATAAATCCTACTTATTAGTCTGCAGATCAATGTTTCCATCCATATCAATGCTACTGTCAAGTTAAACTTTGAATATGCTATCTAATTTAGCACATAGTTGTTTTGCTGTAGGCCTCAGCATCAGATTATTCTGTATAGGGCTTACATAATACTCCCTCCGTTCCCAAATACTTGTCTTTCTAGGCATTTCAAATGGACTCAACATACGGATGTATGTAGACATATTTTAAAGTGTAGATTCACTCATTTTCCGCCGTATGTAGTCACTTGTTGAAATCTCTAGAAAGACAAGTATTTAGGAACGGAGGGAGTAGATAGCACTCTACGTCTCTACCTATTGGTATCTTGAGAAGGGAACCATTTGCCAACAACAATTTTCGTCCCAAGCTAGTTAGGTTAGGCTAGATGAAAACCAACAGAAACATGTGAGAACCCCAAAGAGAAAGTGAACCATTTGCAAAAAAAAAGGAACCAACACAGCTTTAACCTCGATAGCAAGAGGACAATAAATTGGTATTAAGATTATTGCAATAGTCTTCATGAGAGCACTAAGCTACGACGGTAAGGACCCATTAGTCCATTACCAATATTTACTCTCTGCCACTCTGTCTTCCCTGATGTTACACTTGACTGACCTTTTTATTATGAAGGGGTATATTGGCTTATTTTCAGGTCAACATTGTAAAGTCGAACCAACTGAAATTAAGTACTTCACTTGGCTAATGACCTTCCATTGACAGGTACAATATCATCGTTGGCCTCGGCTCTGCTCTGCGCTATCTCCATTCAGAGTGGGAGCAGAGCATCGTGCACGGCGACATCAAGCCAAGCAACATCATGCTCGACACATCATACAACACCAAGCTGGGGGACTTTGGCTTGGCAAGGCTTGTGGACCATGGAGCCAAGTCCGAGACAACCAAAGTCGTGATGGGAACCGCCGGATACATCGATCCTGAGCTTGTCAACACGCGCAGGCCGAGCACCGAGTCGGATGTCTACAGCTTCGGCATCGTCCTCCTGGAGGTGGTGTCTGGCCGACACCCTGTGGCGGAGTCAGAGGACAAGTTCTTTGTGCTGCTGAGATGGGTCTGGGACCTGCACATCAAAAACACTATACTTGAAGTGGTGGACAAGAGACTGAGGGGTGGTGATGAGATGGACGAGCGGCAGATGGAGCGCGTGCTGGTCGTCGGGCTCTGGTGCGCGCACCCCGACCGGAGCGAGCGGCCGTCTATGGCACAGGCGATGCATGTCCTGCAGTCCGAGGATGCCAAGCTGCCGGAGCTTCGGCCGCAGATGTACAGGGCTGAGCCTGTTCTTGCCATGTGGGAACATGGTTACACCGATCTGTCGGTGTGGACGTCCTCCAGTGGCTGCACTGCAGTTGGTTCTGATGCAGAACCGAGTAACTGATGCTACCGCCAGACTGGGTTCTCATTGTGAAGTTGATGCTTTCTAGGTAGACACGAAACAGAATCAATGTGTAACATTTAAACAATCACGCCCAGTTGGAAAATCTGCTCTCTTTGTCTAGGAGTGATTGAATTCACATAGCTTCCCAATAGTATTATTACACTTAATTTCTCATGGTTTCATATGTAATCTGTGACTAGAATGTTTTCCGTTTCAGACTGCAGGATGGAGATCTTGATTAATCACCTAGAAAAGGGTTTCTGGAAGATTTCATCATTTCCCAGAGTCAAGCTAGGTTGAAATAATATTATTAAGCCCAATTTCATATGCTTGAATTTTAGGTTTTTTCTCAGAATTGTTAGAAGTGGTTTAGCATTTTTAAATGATATAAAATCATTTCTAGAATTATTTTTGTAAAAGAAAAACTATTTCTCAATAATCCCTGTGAAAACTGATAACTCTCAGATCTGTTCGATCCAGATCTTACCCTTAGTATGAACACCATCTTTATTATAATTGAGAGAATTGTTTCGGTTGTGTGATCTACATCTCGCGGCGACGGTCAGATATGGCACATACCCTTTCGCCCTTCCCTCTCTTTCTCTCTCACTGACCGACGGAGCCCACAAATCAGTTGTTTTGTACCTCTCACCATTGCCATGGAAATAGGTGAAGCCACGGAGACGCGTGGTGCTACTTTCCCTCTCCATCCCCGAGCCCGTGGACGTGTCCAGGTGCAAACCCTCACTCCTTTGCGACCTCTCCTTCTCCTAGTGTGCTTTAAAGTCCCCCTAGTAGCCATTAGGACCAATGCACGAAACCGACATCGACTGCCTCTACACCCCCTCGCTCGAATCAACCTCCCATCACCTATAATAGGAGCTCCAAGGCACCCCTATCTTTGGTCTGCTCCTTTCCCCTCTGTTAGAATAATCTGATGCCATCATCGATCATCCGAGTATCAAGCAACCACATGAGGCACGACACCGAGATTTGTTAACGAGGTTCACTGAACATCGGCTACACCCCGGACTGGGACCTATACGGGGTATGGTCAGTTTGTAGAGCCCGAGGGTACGATCAGATTAATCAGGCTAGGACTGATACGGGGTACGATTTGATTAATCAGGCTAGCTTTGTTTACTTCAGTTTTGTTAAACACTTCTCTTCTCTGTTTGTAACTTAGATCTTGCCATCATGAAATGGGATTGTTGCCTTTGCACAACCAATTAATATTTTTCACGCAAAACAAATCGCATCATGGTACAAACAAGTTGAGATGAATTTTGTGGCCTTTGTTCAGTTCGATCCACATTGTTGCATTTCCCGCGGAAAAAAATCCACATTTACGTACTTGCTAGTTGGTCGGTCGCCTCCCGCATGTGCATGTTACATTGCTACGCTCGGCTTGTGGATGTGGGATCTCTCCTACCCAGTTCTGCAGGTAGGCTTCGGGAACCTCCCACATTCTCCAGGTAGGCTTCGGGAACCTCCCACACGCAACATCCTTTCTCACTCATCCGATTTGTCTGGTATATTTCGAGCTTCAAGCGGGGGGAACATGGGAAGGGGGTAAATTTGGCACACTATTTGATAAAACTAGACGATACCTCACATGTTGTTGTGGGAAAGTTTTATAACAACTTTCAATGAATATGATTGTATGAAACATGAATATGTGAAGTGATAATATGGTAACTAAGAGTTAAAATATACATATATTATTTATTGTGTCTCATACTGTATAGTTGTATTTTTTTATTAAATATAAATAGCATTATAAAATAGAAACTCTCATGCATGTTTGCATGTTGAGGTTGAATTTTCCTATGCATAATTGCATGTTGAGATTGGTCTTTTCCCATTCATGTTGCATGCTGAGGTGGCATGGTTGCATGTGAAAAGAAATATGTTAGTGGGGATAGTTTGCATGTTGAGGTGAGATTTTTCCTATGCAAAATTTTATTTTGAGATGGATTTTTTCCCCATACATGTTGCATACTGAGATGGCATGCTTGCATGTTAAGATAAATAGATTAGTGAGGGATAACTATCTAGATATAGAAGATGCCCCATTTTACTTTTTCATTTGCCCTGCAAGGCTCTTTTACTTCCATGGATGATCCAGGTAGCAATGCAGGGAAATAAATGGTTGTGGGACTTCAAGGACAACCTCTCGGCCACCTCCATCAATCCGCTCCTAGGCCCATGTAACAAATTGCAGTATATTCGTTTGCATCCCACAAAGCCATGACTCTCTCAGCTGGAGATGGACGGCAAATGACAAATTTAGCATGACATCCACATATGCGTTGCTCTTCATTACATGCATCTAGCCTCATTTCACCACGTTGACTTGGAAATCAGATGCTCTGCCAAAATGCCAATTTTTTCTGTGGGTGTCACCTAAGGGTCATTGTTTAACCACTCATAACCTGGCAAAGGAAGGATGGCCTCATAACCCAACATGCCCCCTCTGCCTTCAGTCGTAAGAGGACTCGACTCATCCGCTAACATCCTGCCCTTATTCGAAGGAGTTGTGGGAACCCATACTCGATATACTTCGACTAAATGTCTCCTTACTCGCATTGAAAACGAGACTCTAGTCCTTGGAGGTAGCGCTCCTCCGCGAACATGAACACGGAATTGACAAAATCATAGCGCTCGGTCATTGCATTGGTTTGGTGGAATTTATGGAGGATCTTTAGAAATGCTTCAACCACGGCTCAAACACGTTTTCCATATGCTTCTGAAGAAGCAAAGGGATGGGTGAAGGGAACAGGTGGATGTCGGAATGCGAAGGGTGATGACTCCAGTTGAAAGACCTCTTGAGCCAAACTAAGATTATTGCATGTTGCAATTTAAATTTCATGCTCTACTCTCTCCTCCTCTTCTTTTAATTTGTAAACATTATTTCTACTTGCAATGGAAGCAGTGGCCCTGCATTTCGTTAAAAATGATATGGATAACATGTTTGTACTTTAGTTTGTTAATTTGATAAGATGCCCAATTTACTTGGTTTACTGCTAATATTCAATATCTAAAGAGTCAATCTTCACTTAGATACTTCTCTTAACATGCACATATGCCACCCTCAGCATCATGTGCACATATGCCACCCTTAGCATCATGTAAACATGCATGAAAAGAATCACCTCAACAAGTAAATATGCATGAGAAAAAGCTCACATAAATAATTAAATACCATAAAGCGTATGTGTGTTCATTGATAGTTTTCATATTATTGATCCAAATATTTATATTTGATATAATGGATTAGCACCTCTGTAGACTTTTATAAGTAGTAATACTACCTCTGTCCAACACATGGGTATCATCTACTCCCTCCGTCCCAAACGCTCTTATATTATGGGATGGAGGGGTAGTTAAACTAAACTCATACTCCCTCCGTTTGAAAAAACTTGTCCCAATTTTGTCCCTCAAATGAATATATCTAGCACTGCTACTTCTTGAGCTTGCATTGATTTTTCCCTTGAAGATGAAAGAGTGATGCAACAAAGTAGAGATAAGTATTTCCCTCAGTTAGAGAACAAAGGTATCAACCCAGTAGGAGGTACAAGCAAGTCCCCAATCTTTGCACCTGCACAAACAATCAAACACTTGCACCCAACGCGATAAAGGGGTTGTCAATCCCTTCACGGACAATTGCAAAGGTGAGATCTGATAGAGATAGATAAAACTAAATAAAAGATAAAATATTTTTGGGGTTTTTGGTTTATAGATCTAGAAATAAAAGATTGCAAAATATTAGATCGGAAACAAATATGATGGACCCGGGGGCCATAGGTTTCGCTAGAGGCTTCTCTCTTGAAGGCAAATAATACGGTGCGTGAACAAATTACTATCGAACAATTGATAGAAAAGCGCAAAGTTATGATGATATCCAAGCCAATGATTATGCATATAGGCATCACGTCCATGTCAAGTAGACCGAGACGATTCTGCATCTACTTCTATTACTCCACACATCGACCGACTCCTGCCTGCATCTAGAGTATTAAGTTCAAAAGAACAGAGTAACGCTTTAAGTAAGATGACATGATGTAGAGGGATAAACTCAAGCAATATGATGAAAACCCCATCTTTTTATCCTTGATGGCAACAATGCAATACATGCCTCACTACCCTACTATGTCACTGGGTGAGGACACCCCAAGATTGAACCGAAAACTAAGCACCTCTCCAATTGCAAGAAATACCAATCTAGTTGGCGAAACCAAACCGATAATTCGAAGAGAAATACAAAGATATCAAATCATGCATATAAGAATTCAGAGAAGATTCAAATAATATTCATAAATAATCTGATCATAAATCCACAATTCATCATATCTCGACAAACACACCGCAAAAGAATATTACATCGGATAGACCTTCAAGAACATCGAGGAGAACATGGTATTGAGAATCAAAGAGAGAGAAGAAGCCATCTAGCTACTAGCTATGGACCCGTAGGTCTGAGGTAAACTACTCACACTTCATCGGAAGGCCAATAGGGTTGATGTAGATGCCCTCCGTGATCGAATCCCCCTCCGGCAGATCGCCGGAAAAGGCCCCAAGATGGGATCTCACGGGAATAGAAGGTTGTGGCGGCACAAAAGTATTTTTGTGGCTCTCTCTGAGGGTTTTGGAATATATGTGAATATATAGGATGAAGAAGTAGGTCAGGGGACTCTCGAGGGGGGCACAAGGCAGGCCCCCTAGGGCGCGCTCTCCACCCTTGCCGCCGCCTCGTGGGTCTTTTGGATTAGACTCCAAGTCCTCTGGGTGTCTTTTGGTCCAAGAAAAATCATCGTAAAGTTTTTTTCCGTTTGGACTCCATTTGATATTCCTTTTCTGCGAAACTCAAAAACAAGGAAAAAACAGAAACTAGCACTGGGCTCTAGGTTAATAAGTTAGTCACCCAAATAATATAAAATAGCATAAATGCATATAAAACATCCAAAACAGATAATATAATAGCATGGAACAGTAAAAAA